AGCTAATTAGATATTACCTCAAACTTCCACAGGTGTTCTATTTATGTTATTTATATGGGAAGTATAGTACTCATAATTCAGGCACTCGTAACAACTTGGAATCTATCTTTTGCTAGCAATGGGGGCCAGAGAAACAAATAAAAAGTGTCTAAAATGAAAAAAAAAAAAAAGAAAGCATGAGCCTCATGCTATGATGAAGGGACTCTCCTAGGTCATATTGGTAATGAGCAAAAAAGCCAGACTGAGATGGGAGATGTCCTCCAGCATGATCCCCCAGACTGGCTTTAGCTAGAGCCACAATCACCCATTGATCTTTCCTGGACTCCCAGACTCTCACAGGACTCTTCATGGGGCATATTCTGGGAAGTAAGTTCATGTCAGGGCCCCAGAAGCCTGACCCTCGTTATAAAGAAACTCTGGGATTTCAATGTTTTCCCAAGCCATAGGCCATCTCAGAGTTTGTCTGCAAAGATATGGTTGGTAGGAAACCCACATGCTGACAGAGAGTAGAGGAAGATGGATAAAGCTAGGCTTCTCCATCATGACGGCACAAGTGCCCTAGGCCAGGCCAGTGCCACAGAGGGCCCAGGAAGCCAGGTGCTCCATAACATTGCTGAGGGCTGAATTAGCCTCGTCCTGAAGCCCACAGATGTTAGATCCTCCACTAGTTCAAGAGAACCCCAAATGTGTTCATGGTCTTGGCCTGAACAAGACAAGCATCTGTGTGGTATAGAACCCACAAGATACACCCACCAGGCAATGGGGACTGACTCAGCCAAAAATACCCACATGGGATTCAGCCACAGGCAAACGTGTTGTGGGAAGCTCGAGGCCCACAGAGAAATGTGCAGGAGTGGGGGCAGGGAGAGGGAATTCCTGAGGCCTTCGTTGTTGGCCAATCGCACTATCATCTTTTTTTTCCTCTCACGTGCAGGGGCCAGGGTCAAGCAGGATAGATTCCAGTGTCTTCCCACTCTGCCACTGGAAAAGAAGAGCCCTCTCCCCCATCATCCATCATGTTGCAGATCTGCGGTGTGGGGAAACTACCCCCCCTTGGGCCAAATGGATCTCCCCCATATTCTCTCAATCCAGTATGTTGGGAACATGAGTTATGGACAGTCTGTGGCTGCTTTCAAGCCAAAGTGCAAGATTGGAGTCATTGCTGGAGACACCACATGGACAGCAACACCTAACAGAAAACCTTTACAGAAGACTTCCCAGAAGAGTCTGTGCCGATCCCTGGTCTCAAAGATCCTAGGATCATGTCCCTTCTTTGAGTAGAACATAGAGCCTTCTGGGTCCAATCTAATTTCTTCAATCCCAGAGGCAAGGACTTCCATCCTTTTAGCCAGAACTCCATCTCCATCCTCCTCTACTGGCACCTTGAACGGCACATCTACAGGTCTGCAGCCCAACGGGAATTCCCTGTCATTTCCATGGTAGTGATGCTCAGAAACAGAGGCGTAAGTGTGAAGTTGTGAGGGTGAGCATGTGTTTCCCCTTTGCCACAGTGTGCAGGGAGACTACAGTAGAGTAGCATGCTTTCTGTCCCACAGGAATGGCCACACACTGTGATTGCATAGTGACCTCAGAAGGAAGCCACCTTCACAGAACAAACTTCATCTGGGAGGACTCCCAAGTCCCTTGTCCTGGACACTAGGTTCCACTGAGGCTGGGGACACACAGAGGGACAGAGACTTCCCCTGCCTTCAGGGTTTTGAGGGACGCCTGCTGTTCCAGTACCAAAGATCCTGAAACCATTCATCCACCTGTCATCCAGCCAGGCATCTGTGAGAGATCTACTCCAAGCAGAAAGGACAGACCAAGAGACAGCAAGTGACAGCCTTGTGTGACAAGTGCCATGACAGGGGACACTCAGGAGGACTGGGAGTGTGCTAGGGGGACCAGTAATCCTCCAGGATTGCCTCCAAATTCTGATCAAGGCTTTCTTCTAGTCAGTCCTCCGTGGATCCCACCTCAGCACTGGCAATGGGCCTACCATGCCCCCAGGCCCTAACCCTAAGCCTAGGTTTGGTTCTCAGGCTTCCGTCCCCAGAGACCTGGCCCCCAAGCCCTCATGCTAGGAGACTCCTAAGCTATACCCCAGGAGTTTGCCTGCCATATAGGAGCTAACCATGCCCTTTGGAACAGCAGAGAACCCTCAGAGTGGGAAAATCCTGCATGTACCCAGAGGCCAACCCCATACTCGGCAGCCCCCTAGGCCACAATCCCAGATCTGACACCCCATTTGAACCACGCTCTCCATTCAGCCCCTCAGTGATCCCGCCTCAGCCCCAGCAGATAGGGCCTGCCATGCACTGAGACCCGAACCCTGACTCTGCGTTGTCAGTCTTCCATCCCCAGAGGCTTGGCTCCCCAATCCCTCCACATTGGGGACCCCTGAGCCACACTCCAGGACTCTGCCTGCCATCCAGGAGGAGATTGTGCCATTGGGACCTGCACAAAACCCTTAGACTGGGAGAAACCAGCATGCCTCCCTCAGGCCACCCTCACCTTCTGCGCAACCCTGTACTGCAAGCCAAAAGCCAACACTCAGCCTCCCCTCCCCCTCCCCCAGCTCTGCCTCTGGGGAGCCTGCCTCCCTGGTGGCCGATAGGGAAGCCACCTGGACCAGGACCTTGGTCCTACATGTCCCCAAGATGCAATTAGCGAGAAAGCGCTCCCAATACCGGGTAGGCACATGGCCAGTATCTCCTCACAATGACAGCCAATTCTCCCCAGTTTTCTGCCCAAATGAATGCCGCTTTGTGCAGAAAGCTTGTGAGAATTGGTTGGGTACCCACGCAAACTAGGTTATGGTGGCGGGGGCCTTCAGGGGGGCCACGTAGGCCCATCCCTGGGTCCCGTGTGGTCGCGGGCCAAAGCTTGTGAGAAACCCTCTAAACGCCGGGTGCAATTGCGGCGCAGATGGCCTCTGAGTGCAGGCCAAGCGCGTCCTCTACTCTGCCCTCTGGGGAGCCTGCCTAATAGCTGGCAGTTGGGGTCTGCCGTGACCCTAGGCCTTAACCTAACCCTGGGTTGGTTTCGCAGGCTTTCACCCAAGAGGCCTGGCCCCCAAGCCCTCCAGATTGGGGACCCCTGAGCCACACCCCAGCAGTCTGCCTGACACCCAGCAGGAAACCGTGGCCCATGCAGATGCTCAGAACCCTCAGAGAAGGAGAAACGTGCATGCACCCCGGGGCCACCCCCGACTTTGAGGGTCTCCCTGGTGACAAACCCAAAGCCTGACACCCCATCTGAACACTCCCTCCACTCAGTCCCCTGGCGATCCTGCCTCAGCACCGGCAGATTGGGCCTGCCATGCCCATAGCCATGAACCCTAACTCTATTTTGGGTAGTCAGACTTCCATCTCCAGCAGCCTGGCTCCCCTAATCCTCCGGATTCGGGAACCCTGATCCAACACCAGGACTCTGCCTGCCAGCCAGGAGGAATCCGTGCCATTGGGAGCTGTCAACTCTAACCCTGGGGAACACGCCTCTGCAGTTGCCCTAAGGGGAACCGTGGGAACATCGCACGGTCCCGCACTGCCCCCACAGGCACCTAGCAATAAAAGCCTCCCAATACCGGCAGGGGGCGTGGCCGAATCGCCGCATAATGCCGGCCAATTCTCACAAGCTTTCTGCCCAAAACGATGTCAATTTCGGCAGAAAGCTGGTGAGAATTCTCCAGGAAATCCCGGCAAACCTGCTTCTCTCGGCGAAGGCCTTCCGGGGAGCCACCTGGGCCCAGCCAGAGGTCCCAGGTGGTCTCAGCCTGAAGATTAGGATAAAGCCCTCTACAGGCCGGGAGCACAGGTGGCCTGGATTGCCTCTGAACACTGGCCAGACACGCCCTCATCTGTTCCCAGGGGAGCCCACCTCAGGGCCTTTTGATGGAGCCTGCCATGCCCCTAGGTCCTAACCCTAACCCTGGGTTGTGTTCTCAGTCTTCCATCCCCAGGGGCCTGGCCATCCCGAGCCTTCGGATTGGGTACCCCTGAGCCACACCCCAGAACTTGGCCTGCCCCCCAGCAGGAAACCAGTGCCTTTGGGAGCTGCCTAAAACCCTCAAAGCTGGAGAGGCCTGCATGCCCCCAGAGGCCACCCCAAACTTCAGGGCCTCACGGGCCAGAAACCCAGAGGCTGACGCTCAGCCTCACCCTCTCCCTCAACTCTGCCCCCAGAGAGCTCGCCTCCACGGGGGCCCTCGGGGAGCAGCATGGGACTGGCTCGCAGTTCCGCAAGGCCCCAACATGCACCTAGCGAGAAAGAGCTCCCAGTACGGGGCAGGCACGTGGCCCGAATCGCCGCCCAACACCCTCCAATTCAAAAGAGTTTTCTGCCCAAATTGACATGGATTTGGGTAGAAAGCTTGTGAGAATCGTCCAGAAACCCCCAGCGAACTCACTTCCGGCTGTCCGGGACTTCAGGGGAGCCTCCAGTGCCTGTCCCGCAGCACAAGCCCTGCGGGGAGGTGCTCTAAAAGCCACGCCCACACATGGCCAAACACTCGGCCTACTCAGCCCCCTGGCGCACCCCTCTCAGCGGGGCAGATCGGGCCTCACATGCCCCTAGGCCCTAACCAGAGCCCGAGGTTGGGTATTCAGCCTTCTGTCCCCAGGGGCCTGTCCCCTAAGCTCTCCAGATTGGGGACCCCGGACCCACACCCCAGGAGTCTACCTGCCATCCAGATGGAAACTGCCATCTGGAGCTGCGTAGAACTCTCAGACCGGGAGAAAACTGCAAGCCTCTCTGAGGCCACCCCAACTTCAAGAGGCCCCCCTGGTTACCAACCCAGAGCCTGACATGCCCCATGATGTCCTCAACTCCACACCCTGGGGATCCTGCCTCAGGGCCAGCAGATTGGGCCTGCCATGCCCCTAGCCCCTAACCCTAATTCTAAGCTGGGTTTTCAGGCTTCCGTCCCAAGAGGCCTGGCCCCCAAGCCCTCCAGATTGGGGACCTCTGAACCACAACCTCGGACTCCGCCTGCCACCAAGGAGGATACCGTGCCATTTTGAAATGCACAAAACCCTCAGAGCGGGAGAAACCAGCATGCCCCCCAGATCTTCGCGGCAGATGGGAGTTCCACGTCTGCCTAGAGCTGACAGGCATCCCTGAGGTGAGCTGAGCTAAGGGCATGGCAGGCCGGACCTGCCAGGGCTGAGGTGGGTTCCCTGGGGTGCTGAGTTGTGGGCGGGGTCAGGAGGTGTGTCAGGCTGCGGGTTTGTAGCCAGGGAGCTGCAGAAAGTGGGGGAGTCCTCAGGGGGCGTGCAGGTTTCTCAGGCTCTGAAGGGTTCTGCACAGCTCCAAAAGGCACAGTTTCCATCTGGGTGGCAAGAGGACTCCTGGGGTGTGGCTCTGGGGTCCCGAATCTGGAGGGCTGGGGGACAGACCCCTGGGGACGGAAGCCTGAAAACCGAACCTAGGGTTCGGGATAGGGCCTGGGGTCATGGGAGGCCCGATCTGCCAGCGCTGAGAAGGAAACCCGAGGGGGCTGAGTAGAGGGAGGGTTTGGCCACCGGTGCCCTGGCTTTTAGAGCACTTTCTCACAGGGTTCGGGCCACAACCACTTGGGACCTCCAGCCAGGCCCAGGCAGCCTCCCTGAAGGTCCACGAAGCCAGAAGCGAGTTGGCCGAGGGTTTCCGGCTAAATCTCATGACATTCTGTCCAAATCAATATCAACTTGGGTAGAAAGCTCGTGAGAATTGGCCAGCATTGTGCGGTGATTCGGGCCGCGCTCATGCCTGCTGTTTAGAGCGCTTTCTCCATATGTGCGTGTTGCGACCGTCTGGGAACTCAGAACGGACCCACTCGACTCCCCAGAGGGCCACAGCTGAGGGGAGCTTTCCAGGGCCAGAGTTGAGGGAGGGGCTCAGGCCGAGGTTCAGGCTCCATGCTGGTGGCCCGGTGGGGCACCGAAGGTAGGCCAACTGGAAGGAACATATCAATGGGACATGTACATGCTCTGAGATCTGAATCTTTCATGGCAACTTTCTGAGAGCTCCTTGTGCAGTCAGAAGCTAGTGTATGCTACCACAGTGTGTTTGAAATGATCATCTACAGAAGAGGAGAGCGAAAATCATTCCATCTTTACCTCACTCTTCACGAAGCACAACATGGTCTTCTTTCCTTCATTGACTTCAATTCCAATTTGTTTCTGTGCAGTGTAAGTCCTTTGCTTCAGGGGGTAGGATTTCTCAATTCCTCACCTGCATGGAACACCCAGAGCTCATCACAACAGGTACACTCCCTAACAGCCATCACCCATTGAACCCTTCCCCCCACACCCCTGCTCTCTAACAACCCTCGGTTTCTGCTCTGAGGTGGCGTCTGTTTCCTCATTGGCCTTTCTGCCCTCACCATGTTCATCTGTTTTCTTTCTGAAATTCCATAGGAGTCAAGTCATAGGCTATTGGTCTTATCCTACTGATTTTGCTTGGCTGAATCCACTCTAGATCTATCCACATCCTGACAGATGGTAAGATTTCATTCTTTTTGAAGCTGGGTCCTATTCCATTGTGTGTAGATACAGGTGTAGATATCGATATATAGTTATAAATCTCCCACATCTTCTTTCTCCATTCTTCAATGAATGGACATTGGGACTCCCTCCATCATTTCGCTATTGTTGATAATGCTGCTATAAACATCACGGTGCTTGTACCCCCATTGAATGTGCATTTTTGTGTCCTTTCAGCAAATACCTAGGAGTGCAATTGCTGGATGCTAGGATTGTTCAGTTTTTAGCTTTTGGAGGAAGCACCATACTCTTTCCCAGAGTGACTACAATAGCCTGCATGCCCACCGACAATGCAGGTAGGTTCTGCTTTAAGCAGAACATTCCTTGCCAGAAATTTCCTAAGGAGGAAATGGGAAACCTGTGGGACAACCTGAGTCACGCAGTCAGGCACGAAATTCACCCCAGGGTTCCTGACACCAAGCCCCTAGAAGCCACCAGCATGCCTCTATCCAGAATTCCCAAACATTCTCCTTCTGACTTCACCACCCATGAAACTGGGTGTCCCCAGCCAGAGTTCCCAGATGTTTGCAACACATCTGGCCAGAAAGCGCTCTCAACAGCAGGCGCGAGTGTGGCCTGAATCGCTGTGCAAGGCTGACCAATTCTCATGAACTTTCTGCCCAAATCATGTCAATTTGGGCAGAAAGCTCATGAGAATTGGCCAGAAAGCCTGGACGAACTCGCTTCCGGCGGAGCGGGCCTTGAGGGAGCTGCCTAGGCCTGGCCTGGGGTCCCGCGTGCTGTCCCCCGAAGCCTACAGGAAAGTGCTCTAAAGGGTGGATTGCACGTGCAGCCTCATTGGTCGCCTCCCAATGCCGGCCACACCCGCCCTCTACTCAGCCACCCAGGGAGCCCACCTCACACCCACACCCTAACTCCTAATTTCATTGCACAGCTCTTTGCTCATCAGCGATGGATCCAAATATGGCTACAGCATGTTCTTAAAAGTCAAAATTGTTGCAATAATTAGTAAAAGGGTGGGAAAAAAATGAGCAGATGATCTCAAAGGCAATTGGAATTGGAATTACAATTGGAAAATTTTGTTTAAAAAAATAGTGTAGCACGTTGTCCATAGCTTTGCCTATAAAGTAAAACCAACCTTTTAACCTTCTTTTCTCTAGAACAAAGATCTCTTTGTCCCCACCTATGGAGCTCTGGCTGCCCAACTGTGTAAAGACTATGAAAAAGATGAAGATGTGAACAAATACTTAGATAAAATGTAAGTAGAATTTTTTATTCTCATGGAATGTATATTGTTTGTTAACATCCCTGAATTTTGTCCACCTCTAATGACTTCGTTTCATTTCACGAGCTTTTCTATTACTTCGATAAATCACATTTTCGAACAAACATCATTTCTGACAACTGTCATTTGGGTAGTCATAAGTATAAAGTAAGAGGAAGGAAAGTTTTTTCTATGAAAATCAAGCATGGAGCATATTTTTTTTAGGTGGAACTCATCTCTTTGCTGGTCACTTATAAGCAAAAGTATGGCAAAAAAAGATTTTTCCTTTAACAAATGTGATGGATCATCAAATTTGATTATTTTCAGAAGTCTTTTGTTTTAATATAATTCCTTCTAAAATAAACATATGCTTACCTAAGTACAGACCATCTGGGAAGGATACACAAAGAATTACTAATGACAGCTGCCTGAGAGAACTTGGATACAGGGGATGACATGTAGAAGACAGATTTACTTTTTCTTATGTAGTGTTTTTATTGTTTGAATGCTTTTACCATTGCTATGCTTTATTTAAAAGGGGGCGGGGGGTGGGAGGTTGGGGGAGCCAGGTGGTGGGTATTAAGGAGGGCACGTATTGCATGGAGTACTGGGTGTGGTGCAAAAACAATGAATTCTGTTATGCTGAAAAGAAATTAAAAAAAAATATATATATATATATATAAGGAAGAAACCCACCCCTTCCTTTTAAAATAAAGTTCATTCTCCTTGTCTTTATTAATGGAGATTCCTCCTGCACAAATTCAACCTTAAATTTTCTCAGAATAATTATACGATCATCAGATTATTGCACAATAATAAAATATCTGTCAACATTTTTTGGAGCCTCTTAATTATGGATCCTGAAAAGGAATCTAGCAGGGCAATGACTAGAAAGCCTGTACTAATTAGAAAATTTAGTTAGAAAGGTTGAAGGGGAAATTTAGCCTACAGGAGCATTTTAGAGCTTTTAAAAAGGGTTCATTGTGTTTTTAGTTGGAAAACAGAAAAAAGACAACATAAAGGAAAGCTTGAAAGTTTTTTTTTTTTAATTTTTATTTATTTTTTAAATTTCTTTTCAGTGTTCCAGGGTTCATTGTTTATGCACCACACCCAGTGCTCCATGCAATACGTGCCCTCCTTAATACCCTCCAACAGGCTCACCCAACCCCTCACCCCACCCCTCCAAAACCCTCAGTTAGTTCCTCCAAGTCCCCAGTCTCTCATGGTTCATCTCCCCATCCATTTCCTCCAACTCCTTTCTCCTTTCCATCTCTCCATGTCCTCTGTGTTATTCCTTATGCTCCACAAGTAAGTGAAACCATATGATAATTGACTCTCTCTGCTTGACTTACTTCACTCAGCATAATCTCTTCCAGTCCCGTCCATGTTGATACAAAAGTTGGGTATTCATCCTTTCTGATGGAGGCATAATACTCCATTGTATATATGGACCACATCTTCTTTATCCATTCATCTGTTGAAGGGCATCTTCGTTCTTTCCACAGTTTCGTGACCATGGCCATTGCTGCTATGAAAGAAGGCCCTTCTTTTCACTACATCTGTATCTTTGGGGTAAATACCCAGTAGTGCAATTGCAGGGTCATAGGGAAACTCTATTTTTACTTTCTTAAGGAATCTCCACACTGTTTTCCAAAGTGGCTGCATCAACTTGCATTCCCACCAGCAGTGTAAGAGGGTTCCCCTTTCTCCACATCCTCTCCAACACTTGTTGTTTTCTGTCTTGGTAGTTTTGGCCATTCTAACTGGTGTAAGGTGGTATCTCAATGTGGTTTTAATTTGAATCTCCCTGATGGCTAGTGATGATGAACATTTTTTCATGTGTCTTTTAGCCATTTGTATGTCTTCATTGGAGAAGTGTCTGTTCATGTCTTCTGCCCATTTTTTGACATGATTATCAGTTTTGTGTGTGTTGAGTTTGAGGAGTTCTTCATAGATCTTGGATATCAGTCCTTTGTCTGTACTGTCATTTGTAAATATCTTCTCCCATTCCTTGGGTTGCCTCTTTGTTTTGTTGACTATTTACTTTGCTGTGCAGAAGCTTTTGATCTTGATGAAGTCCCAAAAGTTCATTTTCGCTTTTGTTTCCTTTGCCTTTGGAGGCATATCTTGAAAGAAGTTGCTGTGGCCAATGTTGAAGAGTTTGTTGCCTATGTTCTCCTCTAGGATTTTGATGGATTCCTGCCTTGCATTGAGGTCTTTTATCCATTTTGAGTTTATCTTTGTGTATGGTGTAAGAGAATGGTCAAGTTTCATTCTTCTACATATAGCCATCCAATTTCCCCAGCACCATTTATTGAAAGGTTTTTTTTTTTAATCCTGGTTTCCTCCCTTTCTAAGCTTCTTCTTTTTCCACAAGGAAGTTCTTTTTCATTGTTCTATGTTTATTTTGGTCCATGTAACTTTTTTTTTCATTGAGTACTTGCTAAGGTAAAGTGTCTTTAATAGTGGGAGCTGCTTAACCTGTTTTACCCTTAGGTCATCCTTAAACATGTGATACAGCATTTCCAGAATACACATCATTTTATGTAGCTTATGTTAAATTTGCATTGTTTTGTGGAACAGCTGTAGAAAATGAAGAAACTCATTTATTTGACTGAAAAAAAATACCTCGGTTAGCTACTTGGGTGCACGTTTTAACAAATAAGAATGAAATATTAAAGAATAAATTTTGAGAAGCTACTGAAAGACTTTGCCTTAAGAAAAGCAATAATTTACATTTGGATTTCTTTAATACCCTCTACTAAAAACGGCTTGCATTTTATTTATTTATTTTTATTTGTAAAGATTTTATTTATTTATTCGACAGACAGAGATCACAAGCAGGCAGAGAAAGAGGCAGAGAGAGAGAGGAGGAAGCAGGCTCCCTGCTGAGCAGAGAGCCCAATGTGGGGCTCAATCCCAGGACCCTGGGACCATGACCTGAGCCGAAGGCAGAGGCTTTAACACACTGAGCCACCCAGGCACCCCAACATCTTGCATTTTTAATCTGATGTATAAACTATCTACTTTACACAAACAGACCCTTTGACCAAAGCAAAATGTGTGTGTACGTGTGTGTGCTGTGTATATGTGTGTGCTGTGTATATGTGTGTGCAGACACACACACACACACACACACACACACTCACACACACACACATGCTGCACTGACCATAACATTCTGGCTTTCTCTCTCTCTCTCTCTCTCTCTCTCTCTCTCTCTTTAAAGATTTTGTTCATTTATTTAAGAGAGAGCAGAGCAGGAGAGAGAGCACACATGAGTGAGGGAGGAGGGGCAGAGAGAGGGAGAAACAGGCTCCCCACTTGAACAGGAATCTTGATACGGGGCTAGATCCTAGGACCCCAGGATCATGATCTGAGCCTATGGCAAACCACTTAACCAACTGAGCCACCCAGGCGCCCCAGCATTCTGGCTTTCTATCACTGCCACTGTCCACGGCTGTAGATATACATTAAAAGTAGGAAACACTGGCAACATTTTTTTAAATCCCGGTACAACTATTTCCACAAGGCATACATTCTGTTCTTCAAAAGTTTTTTTCAGTGTGAACTTTCTAGCTGGACTCACAAAATAGTTTCCTCAGAAGGCAAGTAAGCCAAACCAAATATCTCTACCTACTCCGAAATAGCAATAGAATAACTCATAGATGTCGTGAAGTAATGAGCATTCTGACATCAAACCCGTCTCCCCCAACCACCCAGCCACCGAGTATCTCCCCCCTGTTAGGCCCCACGGGACAGACATTCCTTTTACGCATGGTGGTGTCTTTATCTCGGTGGGCCTTCTGTTGCTCCGTTCACAGCATTTCGTTTGTCTATGTACATGTGGTTGTGAAATCAAAAGACCAATGTCGTGCCAGTTGTTCAGCAAAAGCAGTCTTCTTCCTTTTTATTCCCGCCACGGAGGTCGTATTTGCTCCACTAGATGGAAAGTTCTTAGCTCCATGTTGTCGGAAGTGTCTGCTCAGCCATCTCAGCCTCATACTCCTCATACTCTACTCTGCCTCATACTCTGTTGTGACATCTCCGATGCCTTCAGCTTTGTACTTAGGTACCACTCAGCCCATTTGCGGGAGGGTGGGGCCAACAGAAAATGCAAGTGCTTTCTCCCAAGTCCCCTAGATTCAGTTCCCCTAGAATGAAAAATGAATTTTCTGAATGTCACTTTTTTTTTTTTCTTTTCACTGAACTTCAGAGTTCTAACCACAGAAACCTACACTGGCAACAAAAACGGGTTTTTCTTTTCCTTTCTTCCTCTCCTCCTGGAGCCCATCCTGGACATGTCTCTCCTCTTACCATGATAACTATGCTAAGGGGAGAATGAGCACCCAAGGGCCTCACCTACAGCAGACAAGGTAGCTAGAGCCCCATTCAGTTTCCATCAACAGCTGCTGGTAACAAAGTTAGTTGCCAATAAGATACATTAGGCTACAAATACCAACCTCCCTTAGCTTTAACACACACTGCCAGATTGGGGCCAGCCTTACCTCCTCAGGCTTCTCTGCTCATAGGAAACTAGTTACTATTTCCTGGATAATTGCTCTCTGCTTCTGTGTCTGTAAGACAAATAAAGAGCTCACTGCCAAATAGCCATTGATTGAACTTGTCAAATTTGCTTTACTTTGTAATCCACGCCAGTGCTAAACAGAGGACTCCATTCTTAAACACTGACACAGTTCCCTACTCAAATATTATTTTTAGACCATACTCTTTCCTTCATCACAGGGGATACCTCATTGGGACACGGCTGGTGGAAGACTTTTTGGCTCGATCTTGTGTAAGAAGATGCCATAGTTAATCAGAAATTACAGACATAATTGCCCAGGTAAATGCATTTTTAGCTCTTTCAAAATGTTTTGAAAATCTTTGATTTGTCCTCAGTTCTGTGGCTTTCTGCTCTGATTGGGTAGGTTCTATCTGTATCCCTTAGCAGGTGCTAAGAGATTCAGATTGAAAAGCATTTTATTTCAGCCCAGGAATAAAGCTATTGTGAACAGAGATAAGTGCTTTTAGGCACTTAAGCATCTATAGATTTTTCTGACCACACAGTGTATGTGTGGAGTGTATGTCCCACACTGGGAAAAATGTTTTGAGACAGTAAACTGAAAGGGAGGGTAATAAGGGCAACGTCATAACCTGATGCTCAAACCGGTTTCTTTGTATAATCACTTTAGTTCATGGAGGAGGTAGTCTTTGGCTGTCTCAGAGAATATTGTTGTGGCCTTTTTATTCCCAGAGCAATGTCTCCCCAAGGAAAGAACAAAGCTTCCTGTCAAAGTACATGCTCTAAGAACTTTCACAGCCCTGATATACGAGAGACTACTTGGAATCATCTGAGACCAGCTCAAACATTCTAAGTAGAAGATGAGGCAGGAAATGCATCCTTAGCCAGAATCCCTTTAATCTGCTGGTCTATGATTATTAGCCTTGTGTCGTTCATTTGGGGGAGACTTGGAAAATATACATGGGTATCAGATATGTATAAGGCTCCAGTATATTGTCTCCAGATTCTCACAACAGACCTGTTAAGTTGGTCTCCTTCTTCTTTTCTCTACTGACCCTTAATATTATTATTTCCATACTGACTCTTCACGTGAGTGGCAATAACCATTCTACATAGTGTTTTGTGACTTCGAATGCAGTTTTACATATTCTTCTGTCTTTTACCCTTCCAGTATCCCTGTGAAGTAAGCAAAGTAGGAGTTGTTCCCATTTTCCAGATAAGAAAACTGAGTCCCAGAAAAAATATGATAAAAATTGAATACTAACATATCAAAAAAAGTATGCACTCAAAAACACAATCCAAATGAAAGATTTTCCCAATCCTTGTTATGATTACTCATTATTTCATTTCTCATTATTTCCTGAATAATGTGGTTGAAATTGAAATCCAGGTCATTTAGTCTCAGTGTAGTGAGTTTACCACAAAACTAAACTGATTAAAAAAATTCTCTTTCCCTATTTGCTGAATATAACTGAAATAATGAAGCAGTAATTTGAAAAGTAAAATAATTTTTCACTAAGCCAAGTTTATGGGTGATGCTAGAAAAATACTAGGTGTTTTAATGGGAAATATTTGAAATATACAAATGTAGATGGTTGTATTCTGTTTCTGTAAAAATGCCATTGGGGTTTGATGGGTACTAATTCCATTGAGTTAATAGATCGCTTTGGGTAGTATGAACATTTTAACAATATTAAATCTGTCAATCTATGAACATAGGGTGTCATTCCATTCGTTTGTGTTTTGTTTAATTTCTTTCATCAGTGTTTTGCAGTTTTTAGTATACAAGTCTTTGACCTTCTTGCTTCAGTTTATTCCTTGCATTTTAACCTTTTTCACTGTTATTGTGAATAGGATTGTTTTCTTAATTTCTTTTCTGGATCATTTGTTGTTAGTGTATAGAAACACAATGGATTTTGTATCCTGCAACTTTACTGAAATCTATTCTTAGTTCTAATAAGATTTTTGTGGAGTATTTAGAGTATTTAGGGGTTTTCCACATAAAAGATTGTTCCATCTGTAAAAAGAGATAATTTTACTTTTTTCTTTCCAGTGTATATGCCTTTTAATTCTTTTTCTTGACTAACTACTCTAGCTAGGACTTCTAGTACTATGTTGAGTAGAAACGGTAAGAGGAAACATCCTTCTTGTTCTTGATCTTAGAGAAAAAGTTTTCCATTTTGTTACCATTGAGTATGGCAATGAGAAAAGGACTATCTTTTCAGTAAATAGTTCTGGGGAAACTGGCTGTCCACATACAAAAGAATAGAATTAGACTCTTACCCCATATACAAAAATGAACTCAAATGGATTAAAATGTAAACACAAGTCACCAAACTGTAAAACTCCCAGAACAGGGGTGTGGGTGGCTCAGTTAGTTAAGCATCTGAATCCTGGTTTCAGCTCAGGTCATAATCTTAGGGACACGTGCACATGTGCACGTGCACACACACACAAATTTTGGTGAAGATGTGGAGACATTGGAACCCTTGCATACTATTAGCGGGAATTCAAAATGGTACAGCCACTATGGAAAACGGTTTGAAAGTTCATTAAAAAATTAAAAATAGAATTACCATAAGACCTACCACTCCCACTTCTGGGTATTTATCCAAAAAAATTGAAATCAGGATCTTGAAGAGATGTTAACACCCTATATTCATTGCAGCACTTTGCACAATAGCCAAGATGTGGAAACAACATAAAAGGCAGTTGACCAATTAATAGATTTAGGAAAATGTGGTATATACCTACAATGGCATATTTTTAATAAAGGGACATTCTGCAATGTGAAACAGCATGGTCGAACCCAGACACAGAAAGACAAATACTGCAGGGTTCTTCCTAGATGAGGTATCTAAAGTTTTCAAATTTATAAAACCACAGTGGGGAATGATGGCTTCAGGGAGGAGGAAATGGCGAGTTATTAACCAATGGGCATAAAGTTTCAGTCAAGCAAGATGAATGAGCTTTAGAGGTCTGTGGCACAACATTGTACCAGTCATCAACAATAACATATTGTACACTTATAAATGTGTTAAGAGGGTGGATCTTGGGGCACCTGGGTGGCTCAGTGGGTTAAAGCCTCTACCTTCAGCTCAGGTCATGATCCCAGAGTCCTGGGATCAAGCCCCGCGTTGGGCTCTCTGCTTAGCAGGGAGCCTGCTTCCTCCTCTCTCTCTGCCTGCCTCTCTGACTACCTGGATCTCTGTCTGTCAAATAAATTAAATAAATAAATAAATAAATAAATAAATAGAGGGTGGATCTCATGGTAAGTGTTCTGATCCCAATTTTTAAAAAACTTAAAAGAAACAGGTCTGTTTGATATAAAACTAGGAACATTCACTTTCCAAATATCTATCCTCTAAACTTTTTACATCTTTTTTATTTTTCTCATGTCATGGAAATTCTTAGCTGTTCCTCCTGTCCTCAACAAACCGGGAAAGTTCTACTCCTTCGCAAGATTCCTTCTTGCAATGAAGAGACTATTTTGTCACCCTTACCCTTCTCTTGTGCAGAGGGGTTGTCTCTGGCCTTTGCACTCTCCTTCAGAGGTCCGATTTCCTCCCTCTTTGTCATTTTCATTTCTCCAGCAGAATGTTCTTTTACATGTGGGAATGATGTCACCCAAGTCAGAAGCACTTTAACACAGAGGAAGGGGCAGACCTCAGGTATATACTCGCTTACTGATAATTGGTTTTTATAACTGGCAAGTTTCATTAGAAGGTCTGGCCTTCAGCAGCATCATCTCATTCATCCTTGTGAACTCTCCTGAGCGGAGGCAGGTGTCAAATGTTAGAGTCAGTTTTAGAGGGGAGTGGAGCAAGGTCGGAGGAAATTTACCATAGTCACGTGCTGCCGGTGGAGCATAGCAAGGTCAGGCATAGTACCTAAACCTTGTGACTTTTGTATGGCTGACCCCTCAGACCATGCCCTCAAACAGAGCACCGCCCTCATCCTTGCGTATCAGCATTTTGACGAGCTTTAGACTTCAGATGGCGCCATCTAGTGGTGGGAAGAGAAATCCCATGACAGAGGCCAAACCTGTTCCAAAAAAGTCTGTCATCAGGCCTTACATTTCGTATAAAAAAGAGACGACAGGTTAATTCTAAAGCCATATTCTGGCAACGTTAAAATGTATCCACTTAAAAAATACCGTTTAATCACATACAAGTCTATTTTTGTATTGATTGCCTCGAAGTACTTCAAACTTTAAATAAGATGTATAATTTATAAAGGTTGTCAACAGCATTATAATGATGTTAAAAAACTATTAGTAATACAGCACCTTTCCTTAGAAAAGCTCAAAGTAATTGCCACCTATTATTTTTTTTTCCCTTTCAAGATTCTTGTGAAGTAAAAACGATAGCCATCATTAGCCTCATTTTACTGATGACATAATTGAGTCTTAGGATATGTCACCATAGCTACATAGTCCAAAAAGCCCTCTGAGAATTTAATTTTTCTGATCTTATTCCCATGCTTTTCCCAAATTAATTGTTTTTTTAAAAGGTACCTGTGGGCTACATTACACTTTACACTTGCGTGACTTTACACCTCGCGTGACTTTACACTTTGCGTGACTCAGTCGGTTAAGCGTCTGCCTTCTGCTCAGGTCATGATCCCGGGGTCCTGAGATCGAGCCCCATGTCTCAGGCTCTCTGCTGAGTGGGGAGCCTGCTTCTCCCTCTCCCTCTGCCTGCACTCCCCCTACTTGTGTGTGCTCTCTCTCTCTGTCAAATAAGTAAATAAAATCTTTTTTTAAAGGATATTAAAAGGTACTTTTAAAGATTTTCTCCTGTTATGATCACTGTTCTGAGAAAATTGAAAATGTGGAATTTGCATTAGAGTCACTGTAGTAATGAAACACTGGAGAGTTTAAATGTAATCTAAAACATAAATCTTTCAGTTTATTATAAAAACGAGTTGAAAATACAATTGTGCCTCACTCTGGTCTGAGGTCTACATGCACACCTCCTTATTTACACAAAAATATATTTCACGGTTTCCAAACACATCCATGATAAATGTTTTATTATGAAGAGAAGCTAATTAGAGATCAACATCATCCTTTAAAATCAAGATGACCACAAAGGGTAGGCTTGACAAGAGATATTATACCTCTGTCTTTTAAAAGTAATTAAAATGCAAGAAGCTCTGACCCTCATCAAATAAGTGATCATCTAGCCAAGTCCAGTGCAGTCGAGATGAAGAGAGGAGTCCACTTCCTACTCAGCCTCATTCCCATCATGTGCCCCTGAGCAAGTCCTTAAGCCTGTCTGAACCTCAGTTTCCCTGTCAGGTGGCACCTCCTTCAGCGG